GTAAAGCATAGTAGAGTGTAAATAATATTTAATATGTATTGAGCACGTAGTATACTCCAGGCACTGTGTTAAGTGCTTTACATTTATTAACTTGTATAATCTCCATCACAAGCCTGTGACGTAGAGATTATAATTATCATCATTTTGCATGAGGAAACCAAAGGTACAGAGAAAGTAACTTGCTCGAAATCACATGGCCAGGAAGTGAAATATTTAGCTCAAGTAAGGATGTATACGACACGTTTCCCTGTGCTCCGAGAAGCTCACAGAAAACCAGAACACATTGATATGAATAGTAATCATAGCTAACATTTATTAAATGCTGCTCATGAAATGCTTTATTCAGGTATTATCTCATTTAATCCTCACAATGACTTTATGAGTTAGGTTCTCTTATATGGCCTGCTGTAGTGATGAGGGAACATACGTGAGTAATCCACCCAAGCGGGGTTTGGAAATCAGGCAGTCTGCTAGGGAAGCACATGCTGCAGAGAACTGCACCACCACCCTCACCTTGACTTTGTTGGGTTGTGTAGCATCCAGACCAATGCCATGGTGGAAAGATGCTCCATGGAGCGGAGGGATATATGAGTGGGTCTTGAAGGATGAGTAGGAGCCCACCTTTTCCCATACCCACTTAGTGGACAGTGTAGCGAAGAGATAGTCATGGATTTGAATCTCGGGCCCACCGTCTTCCCAGCTGAACAGCTTCTGTTTATCTCCTCTGACCCCGTTTCCTTAATTGTAAAATGGGGACCATGAAAACTATTCCTCTGACACCCCCTGAGGAATAGATGTGATTGGTTCTGGAAACAACCAGCTAGGTGTCTGGCATGCAGTGTGGGAACTCAGTGGTCAAAGCCAATGCACATACAGGTATAATACCAATGGTCCCTACAGAGCACTGACCACATGCCAGGCACCACTGCAAGCATTGAACGTAGATTCATTCACCAATGATCTTATCAAATAGGTACAATTTTTAGGTCCGTTTTACAGATAAGAGACTGTAGCACAGAGAGACTGAATAAGTTATGCTGAGCTAGGACACGACAAGGTGGAAACGGGGCAGTCTGGTCCTGAGTGCATGTGCATAGCACCTCTCTACTGCCTCAACTGTAGAAAGGGGGTGGAGACCATCGGCCAGTCATGTGACATAATCAAGAGTGGGAGGAGGAAAGTGTGTCATTAAGGGAAGATTTCTGGAGGCGCCATCTTGTCCTTTGGAAAACATGACTCCTTGGCAAGTGGCAATCATAACACACACAAAGCACCTGGCTTCTCAGACCAGGCAAGCAGGACCCTTCGGAGTATGCCTGGGGTACAGAAAACCATACTGTGAACACGGTCGTTCATTCATTCCCTAAGTTTTTATTGTGTACCATGAGCAGTTCCACAAGCTGGAAATACAGCCATAAACAAAATCAAACAAAAATCCCTACTCTCATAGGAGTTGATGTTCTAGTGTGGGGACACAGATAAGATGCAAAGAAATAAGTAGACTAGATAACTGAGTGTGGTGGTGTGGAAGGGGTAAAGAGGAGGATGGAATGAGATAGAACAGCTTGCACTGTCAGACAGGAGGGTATTTGGGAGATCTCTCAGAGCAGGTGGCATGAGAGCCAAGATCTGAAGGAGGTAAGGGAGTGGGAGTCGCCGGAATTCTGGGGGAGGCAGAAGAGCAAGTGCAAAGGCCCTGAGGCAGGAGTGTATTTGGGCTATTGAGGGAATAGCAAGGAGGTGGGTGTGGCTGGGGTAGAGAGCAAAAGGGAGAGCAGTTAAGATGAGGTCAGATGGGTGTGGGGGAGGTGGGAAAGAGAGCACATCTCCACCCGTCTTTAAAGTTGGTGTGTGTGCTATAGAAACAAACAAGAGTTTAGAATGCAAACTATGCATACGTTTCACAGTTGGAAAATGAGACTTGAATGCAAGGTGCTCACGGAGCCTTCCCTGCATAAACATCCCAACTCACCCCCTCTCTGCCCATGCCTGTGAGCCCATGGGGTTGAAACTGGGAAAACCAGGTAAGAGTGACTGTGACCAGGTCTAAGCACAGGCTTGGGGTTTGAGCCCTGGAGACCACCACTGCCTTGGCGTTCTGTGGAGGAGAATGTTTGGTTTCCTTTCAGCTAAGATCTGAGTGTAGTCAAGAAGGTCTAAAGACCCCTGCTCCCAGGCTTTCCGCATCTCCTTATCCTGGTGCTGGGAGACCAGTACCTGACCTGCAACGGACACCACAGGGAATGTTTGCTGATTCACAATGAACTGGATAAACCCTCAGGCACATCTGGGAGACTAGGATGCCTGGAAATTGCTCCTTGGCTCCAAGGCCAGTTTGGGGCCTTTTCTGGGGTTTCATCTGACCATTTAAAAGAATTTTTTTTTTTAAGATTTTATTTATTTATTTGACAGAGATCACAAGTAGGCAGAGAGGCAGGCAGAGAGAGAGGAGAGAGGAGGAAGCAGGCTCCCTACTGAGCAGAGAGCCCGACGTGCGGCTCAATCCCAGGACCCTGAGATCATGACCTGAGCCGAAGGCAGAGGCTTAGCCCACTGAGCCACCCAAGTGCCCCTCATTTGACCATTTTGGACTTGGATTAGCTTTGAACTAGGTAGACCACTGTGGTTGCTTTTCAGGCAGGGTGGAGGGAGGTGGCTGGAAGGGACCTTGGGTTCAGGTCATAATTTCGTGAAAAACGAATACTGAGGCCCTCTCAGAGTCCAGACAGGCATTGCAGTTTGTTTTAGGCTGGAGTCCCTGTCTGGGGGGCAGCACCCTGGTGTGTATTTCTTTTCAACGAACAAGCTGGTCAAGGAGGGATTTGAATATGACATCATCCTAGCCTGCAGGGGTGAATGGGGATGATACAAAGCTCATGGCAGAGCTAACAGCCACCACTGACTGGAGAGCACTTGCGGTAAGACAAAGACTGGTTAAGAGCGCCCCTCCCGCCATAATGAAACAAAGCTTAGGGGTTTCAGCACTTCTTCTTCTTCTTCTTTTTTTTTAAGATTTTTTTTTTTTAATTTATTAGTCAGAGAGAGAGAAAGAGAGCGAGAGCAAGCAGGCAGAGTGGCAGGCAGAGGCAGAGAGAGAGAAGCTGCCTCCCCGCTGAGCAAGGAGCCCGGATGTGGGACTTGATCCCAGGACCCTGGGATCACGACCCGAGCCAAAGGCAGTGGCTTAACGGACTGAGCCACCCAGGCGTCCCAGTCAGCACTTCTTCTGACTCTAGAGCAGTGCTCCTGACTTCTGGGGACATTGTCTCATTCACAGAGTCCCTACCAGAATATTTGAGCAACTTGCTATGGTCTGGGAGAGGAGGAAGCTGCAGGTTTCACAGTATTTTCTTTATTCTTTTTTTTTTTTTTTTTAAGATTTTACTTATTTATTTGACAGACAGATCACAAGTCGGCAGACAGGCAGGCAGAGAGAAATGAAGGGAGACAGGCTCTCTGCCTAGCAGAGATCCTGATGCGGGGCTCCATCCCAGGACCCTGGGATCATGACCTGAGCCGCAGGCAGAGGCTTCAACCCACTGAGCCACCCAGGCGCCCCGTTTCACAGTATTTTCATGCATACATTCAATTTGTTCCAACACTGAGATGTGTTAATACACTAAGGGTATAGAGAGACAAACCTCCTACGACTGGCCTTCATCTTTCAACTTCACCTGGGAGGAGGGGAAAAGTTGTGAGTCAAGTATTACCGAAAGTCAGAACAGGGAAGGAGTAACTCTTCCCAGAGTGGGGGTGACATTTGTCTCAGGCATTCAGCAGTAGCAAACCTGGACTAGGTTCCTACCTCCTGCCTGGCTTGAAGATTCAGAGTCCCTGCCTTCCGGGGCTGAACACCTAGGGCAGTTTCTCCGTTTGAGGACCACCAATACCAAAATTGTCCTGATGCTTGTTAAAATGTGAATTTCCCGATTCTCCAGAGAAGGGGAATTGGATGGATAAAGCAGGTCTGGGTGTAGCATTCAGGTGATTCTGATGCACATTGGAGCTGGCCAGGTGAGTGGGGGTAAGAAATCAGTCCAGGCAGGGGGAACAGCATGGAAGTGGCTTGGGAATCCTTCTTGGCCTTCAGGCACTGGGGTTGCAGCTCAAGACAGCAGGCTCTTGGAAAGGGATCCTGTCGCTGCTGTTTACCACCTAAGGCCTTGAAGATACATTTGTCAATATGCTGGCTCCCAAGATAGAAGTGACCCGAGAGTCGAAGGAAAAAGAAGTCAGAGGAAAAAAATTGGTGTTTCTTTGTTTCTTCTTCTTTTTTTAAGATTTCATTTATTTATTTGACAGAGATCACAAGTAGGCAGAGCAGCAGGCAGTGTGTGTGTGTGTGTGTGTGTGTGTGCGCGCGCGCGCGCGCGCGGGTGTGGGGCGGGGGGAAGCAGGCTTCCCGCTGAGCAGACAGCCCGATGGGGGGACTCCATCCCAGAACTCAGATCATGACCTGAGCCGAACGAAGGCAGAGGCTTAACCCACTGAGCCTCCCAGGCGTCCCAAAATAGGTGTTTCTAAGGGGATGAAAACTTTCCAAAGAGTTGTCCCTCCGCAAGGCAGCTCCGCCTAACAGAGGGAGTTGGGGAGGTGGCCGCCCGCGGGAAAGGGCTGGATCCAGTGGGCTGCAGCGGGGGGACAGAGCGGGAGGCGCCTCCTCGCCCCCCCCAGGACAGCCGAAGGCATGAGGTCACCGGGCAGGGCGCCAGCAGCAGCTGCGAGGACACGCCCGCGCCGCGGCGGGAGGCGGTGTCAGGCTCCGGCCCCCGGGGGGAATTTCCCTCCCGCCCCCTCGGGAGGCGTGGCTCGGAGTCCCGCCCACCTACCGCCAGAGCCTGAGCTTCTTTACCGCCCTCGCCCGAGGCCACACCCTCCCGGCTTCGGCCTCCAGGTTTCCTCCGGGGTCCCGAGACGTAGGGCCTTGGCCACGCCCCCGGCGAGGCCCCGCCCTCGGTCCCCGCCCCGCGGCTTGAAGCGGCTCGCGCTGGGGCCGCCTCCGAGTCGCGCGCGGGGCGTGGGGCGGTGCTGGGCAGCGGAGACTGAGGAGAGCTCGACGCCGGGACTGTCCAGGGAGGCGCAGCGCAGCGCGGCGGGAGCCCTCAGCCCGAGCAGTCCCCGGAGCAGGAGCAGCAGTCGCCGCCGCCGTCCACGGAGCGCAGCCGAACCCGCCATGGCGTTGTCGATGCCGCTGAACGGGCTGAAGGAGGAGGACAAAGAGCCCGTCATCGAGCTCTTCGTCAAGGTGAGCGCTCGCCCGCCGTCCCGCCGCGCTGAGCCCCCGGCGTCCGCCCAGCCGGCCGTGGGGGGTGCGGCGTCCCTGCACCCCGGACGCTCCTCGGTCCCCGCGCCCCCGCCGCGCCCTAGCGCGGCGCCCGCCCCCCCCGGCCGCGCCCTAGGGCGCCCCCCCCCCCCCCCGGCCGGGAGAAGCTGCTCTCCCGCCCCCGGCCCATTGTCTCCGGCCCACCCGCGCCTTCCCGCCGCCCAGGCCGGTCGAGGGAGCCGGGGCGGGACCGGGACCCCCGGCAGCCGGCAAGCGGAGCGGTGCTCACCGCCTCCAGCTGCGCGGGCTCCGGCGGCCGCCAGACCGTCGTCCCGCGTCTGGGTGGGACGCGCCGCTGCTCCAGCACCCGGCCGGGGGTGGACCCGTCACCCCCAGCCCCGCTCCCGCCCAGGCGCCGGCCCGACTGCACCCCACCCTCACCCCCGCGTCTCCCCGGACAGGGGCCGAAACCTCTCGGTCGGGAGATGATGAACCCAACTTCTTGGAATGCTTTGTCAGAGAGCATTTCGCTTCCCGCTGTCATGAAACTCTTAAGTTTAATTTTCGATGCGATCTTAATAGTTTTCTTTCTTTTTTTTTTTTTTTTTAAGAAGAGCAGCAGGGCTTCCGGGAAGGACCTAGATTTCCAACTTGGGTTTTCCTGTCTTAGGTATTTTATCACCATCTGGGTTTCTTGTTTCTCAAACTCGGAGTGGTTTGTATGATGCAACATTTTGGCTGCTCCCTTTGGTGTTGCTGCCTCGGGAAAGATTTTGAGTGCCCTTTTGTTTTGAAAGAAAAGCTGATGAGGGGAAGAATTCATAACTTGCCTGGGCTTTAAACAGTTGATTTTCCCCTCTGGTCGCTTTCCTGGAACTACCTTATTTGCTTACAGATATTATCCCTATCTCTCCTAGCTTCCTTAATATTTTTCTTTTTAGCAAAGGAGAGAGAAGTTATGAGCATCTGGCTCCAGCTGCCTCCCTCAAAACTTCAAAATCCTTGAGATTCTCATAGTCACTTACTTACACAGAGCTAGGCTGTGAATTGGAAAGTTAACAGGAATTTAGAACAATTTTGTCTTTTTTCCCTGAGTTTTTATTTTAAAGAAGGGAAGGTACTGAAGGGTGTGTTTGAGAGATGGGAGAGAAGACATGATCAGAACAATGTTTTAGGATTTTCTTTCAGTTACTGGTGTTAGAAACATTTTGGTGTTAGAAACGTTGTGGTTGGGGAACTGGTACAGCAGACAGGTGCAGAACCCCCAGAATGTCTTCAAAGATTCTGTTTGTTTCTGTGGCAGATACAGTACTGGGAAGTGCAGAGGATGTAGGAAGGAACCTGAAATAAGAGAAAGTAAGATGGGTGGAAGGAAGAAGGGTGGGTTACAGATCAATGTTCAGAAAGTTTTATTCAACTAGTAATAGGAAGGAATGTCCGTAAACTCAACAGCGACGTATCTACGGAAGTTCTAAAAACAAAACAACAAACCAGCATGATACTTAATGGTGAAACTTTAGAGGTAGCATTAAATTTAGAATCAGGTAAGGATACTGTCAGTAATGGTTTCTTTTCAGCCGTGTTCTGGAGGTCCTAGGCCATACAACAAGACAAGAAAAAGAAACGAAGTGTATGAATTATATGAATTAGAGAGGAAGAGATCTATGCTTAATGCTCTGCCTACTATTAATTTAACCCTTTAGTTAGAATGAGAGCGGCATGGTGCATTGTTTCTCAAACTTGAGTGACTGTATCCTGCTTCCCAGTTTTCCATATTTGCGTTGATGTGTAGTATCATTTACTAAGTGTATCTTGCAGTAATATCTGAAACTGATTCGATGTGGTGATTATATTTCTCCTGTGCGTAACTATTAAAGTAAAAAATGTTGTGATCCATCTAACAGCATCCTGCTTACCACTCATTGTGAGCCTTTCTCACAGGGCTTCGTGGCAGAGACCCAGGGTTCAGGTCACACAGTTCTGTACTCCCTGGGCAAGTTGTTTTCCCTTTCTGAGACTTATTTTCTTTTTGTGTGGAATAAGACGTGAAAGGTTTTCTGCTGCCTTGTGGTTCTGCTTATGTAAGACATTGTGCTGATATAAACCAGGATAGTTATTTCAAAGAGGAAAAAAAGGGCCAGGTAAATCGTGGTGGAGGTTTTTTTGGTGGTTGTTGTTAGAGTGTGCTTGTTTTCTTCTCCAAACCTATATATGAGAAATGCAAATGGGGGAAGATTTTACGGTTATTTTGAAAGCAGTGAGTGGGCAGAGGCCATGGTTGTTTAGAATGGTATGTTAAACAGTGTTAATTATTCTGCCAAGAGGTATCTGAATTTGTAGCCAAAATCTATTATCTACACTTAAAGCGTGTGAGTGAAAAGGATATTGAGCTTCCCGGTTTAGGTAGCTTTAAATTGAAGAGAAATAGGCCAGGACCTTACTAACTAGTGTGACTGGACTCACAACTACGTTGCCTTCCTGGTGAGTGTTGTTTTTGGAGTTCTCTACCCTTGAGTCCCTTGGCTCCCCATCACCTGGATAAGTGCAATTCTCCATTTGTGTTTGTTCCTTCCAACACCTAGAGGGTAGGGCACCCTCCCAATAATAAAAAAAGCATACAAAGGCAGTCATCCTCAACAGTGAGAATGCCTTCTTCCCTCACCAAGAGGGGCCGGGTAGGTGTGTATATTATGATATACCAGCTCTAGTTGGGAACCACTAACCAATAGGGTGAAGGTCAGATCCTTTAGCAAGGACATAAGGCCCCTTATAATTTGAATGTAATTAAAATTTCTAATCCACTCTGTCCACTCACTAGTTGTGTGTTCCAGGACACACTACTTAAACCTCTCTGTGCCTCATCTGTACTGTTAGGATATTAATAGACCAAGCTCATAGGAATAAATTAGTTGGTATATGGAGCATGTAATAACCTTAGAACAGTTTCTGATACACAGAAAATAGATGCTAAGTGTGTGTCATTTTGTATGTACATATTTATATGCATATCTCCCCTTGTAGATAGACATTTAATTCCTTGAAGGTAAAGTCTACATACTGTTCCAAGTGCCTGGAAAATAAGAGGGTACCAAATGTTTGAAATGAGGTTGTTTCCTTTTTTGTTAGCACTCTGCTATTTATATATGTGTTGATATGCTTTGGAATTGGGAACTACTTACTTAGATCTTCATAGTCTGAGTCTCAAACCTTGGTCCTTTATTTCTAAAACCCTGTATTATTTGATCTACCTGCTTTTTCCTCCCTCCAGTTTGTAGTACTTCTAGTCTTTTCTTGTACCTGCCAATTTTCCATCAATATTTCTTCTTGGCCGTGTTCAGACTTTGGAAACCAAGATTTCTGTATTAAGTAAAAATGTTAGTTATTAAATCACACAATGAGAGAAACTGAAAATGACTGATTGTTTTTTTCCTTTGGCTTGTATAAGCCCAGCTCCTGTTGACTCTGCTGCCTCCCCAGCCCTTACCAGTAGCTTTGGTATGATGCGATGGTATTTCTGATCTCAGCATAGAAGGACTCCCTCTGTAGAGTTTAGTTTTATGGGCTGGAATTTGTTTATTTATTTAAAGATTTGTTTACTTGAGAGAGAGAACCCATGCCTGTGCTCACAGGCTTGTGAACAGGAGGAGGGGCAGAGGGAGAGGGAAAAGGAGAGAAGCTGACTGCATGCTGAACCCAGAGCCCTACTTGGGGCTCCATCCCATGACCCTCAAATGACTGAGCCACCCAGGCGCTCCTTATGGGCTGGAATTTAAAGTTGTTGATGCATGATTTTGAACCAGTACAGTCCCTGTTGGCAGTGGTCAGGAAACTGCTGGGATTGGGGTGGTGGTTGTAAAAAATTAGTCTGGTGCAGGGTGGCATAACACACAAGAATAACTGTTCCGTTTGAAATACTTGGCAGGATTTCCAGTGTGCATGGACCCTGGAGCCAGACTACTTGGCTTGACTCTGGCTTCCAGTAGTGTATCAGGCAAGTTTCTTAAGTTCTCAGTGCCTCAATTTCCTGACCTCTAATACCAGGATAATAATAATAACAACAATTTTATACGGTTGCTGAGGGGATCAGCTGCTAATCTGTATATATTAATTAGGGTAGTCTGAGCTGCTTTAGTAAATAATTCACCCCAAACAATGATTCAAACAAGATGGAAGTTATATTTCCTTTCTCACTTAACAGTCCAAGGAGAGTGTTTTAGACACTGAGGTGGTGTTCTTTCTTAGAGTCATTTAGGGACCACAGCATTAGCAACTTGTTTTTCCATCAACCCGGAGAGCATTGAACTCCCCTAAGCTGTCAAAGCTGGTGGCACGGAAGTCCTGTTTATAGCCAGTGGGAGGTGGAGAATTTGTAGGAGGCACATGACTCTTAAGGGCCCTAGCCCAGACTTTCTGCCTCTCACTTCCTTTCTCATTCCACTGGGGAGAACTTGATCACATGGCTTTATCTAATTGCAAGGAAGGCTGGGAAATGTAACTTAGCCATACATCATTCTCTGGAAAGCATTAGGAATAGGGCTTAGCAACAGTAAAGACTTACTTTTGTTGTTGATGACAATATAGTATTCTTTTTTTTTTAAGTGACAGTATATTCTTAAATGTGGGCTTCATTAATAGGATTCAGGAGATTCTATAAATCCTTGAAATTACATAAAAAGTTCTATATGGGTCTTTTTTTTTTTTTTTTCTGGGGATTCCTGACACAGGTTTAAGAACCATTGCTTTTAAAAAAGTAAATGGTGGAGTTCTGATTGTCAAGCATAATTCATATAAGCAAGGTGTAAAAGAAGGGTTTGGCCTAGGTCATCATTAAGGTCACTTCTGTCTGATTATCTGTGACTTAAAGCATTTATTGGAATGAATTAAGTGCCTCATACTGAATTAGGTACTATGGAAGTTATAAGACATTTTTAAACATTTCCTATCTTTAGGTTTATAAATTTTATTGGAAAGAAGAGTTGGGG